TTGGAGACACCCTGAACCACCGCCACTTCCCTTGCATGTTTGCTGGTTCTCCCTACCCATCTACCTGCCACTCCCTCCTGCTGCCTGCCTGCCTGCCTGCCCCCCTACTGCTTGAGCACCATGTGATTCCCGGGTGGCTCCTGCTGCGCTGTGCGGTCCCGGCCATGCAGCCAGGAACTGCATGGTGCTGGAGCCAGCCTGGCCTGGCCAGCACTACACAGAGCCAGATGGGAATTGCAGGGGCTGGGCTGGCTCCTACTGTGCCAGCAGGGACAGGGGGGAGCTGGTCTGGCTCCATAGATCCTCTGCCACCCTGTGCTCCTGCCCCATGCTCCAGCCCAACTGTTGCTTCTGCCTGCCTGCTTGTTGCTATTCCTCCTGCTTGCCACCACCATTTCCCCACCTTCTCACTGCTGCTACTGCTTCTCCCCTTCCCGTTTCCCACCTGCCTGCCACTCTGGGACTGCGCTGATCCTGGCTGTATGGCCAGGACTGCAGAACACAGGAGGAGCCAGTCTGGCCACCACAGACTGGGGTGATTGCTGACAGTCCTTCTCTCCCCCAGTTCTTATCTGACTGCACTCTCAGGCAGAGGGAGGCAGAAAACAGCTCCATGAGGGCTGGAGATTGGGGGGGTGCTTGGAGCAGGGCGGAGGGTGAGGCGGAGCTGGTCAGGCCTTGCTGCTGCTGCCCCTGTGTCCTGCTGCTGCTGGCGCCTCGTCAGCTTAGACAGGCTGCTCTGGACAAATAATAATTAATGTTCTAAATTTTTTAGGGCCCTGTGAGCTGGATAGAATGGCCTGGCAGGCCCGATCAGGCCCACAGGCTGTATTTTACCCACCTCTGGTCTAGCTCCATGCTCTTTTGAACCAACCTTCTGGTACTTAAGGGATGCTATCAAATCCCCTTTCAGTCTTCTCTTCTGCAGATTAAATAAGCCCAGTTCCCTCAGCCTGTCCTTGTAAGTCATGTGCCTCAGCCCCTGAACCATTTTTGTTGCCTCTGCTACATTTTCCAACTTGTCCATATCCTTTCCAAAACTGGGCACACCACTCCAGATGTTCTGACCAACAATTTCATAGACTACTACTTCTGAAGGGGTCCATCATAAATGTTATGCCCAGTTTACTTAACCACATTAGTACCAGGGCTCTGGCCTAGGGGTTTGGAGAACCCATTGTTTCCATGTACACTTAGCTACACACATACCATACGTGCAAAAGTTTGTTTATCCAAATGCCATAGAGACTTGGAGTAAATCTGGATGATGAAGGGTTTGGACAATCACAGAAATTTTCAATGTAATTGATAGACTGTAGATGATAGAGTCCTCCTGCAAATAAATGAGGGTTGGGTAATCATGTTTGTACAGTGTGCCCAATTCTACAAACAATTTAAGTACATTGTGTGTTTATGTAGACGGATACAAGCGTAATCTTTGACATCCAGTGATGTGTTACTGAATGTCTCAACCAAGCAGTTGTTCAGTCATGCAGAGTCAAACTATTTTGTGAAATTCAGCTGCATATTAAATCACCCGTCATACATCCTGCTGCCATCTGAAACTGTGGACACTAATCTCTCTGGAATTAGGAAGACTGGTTCCCTACTATCTGCAGTAGCTGCTGTTGACAGCAATAATGTATGAAACACAGAGCAGAGTAGAGTTTGATTTTTCAGGAAATTGGGTTATGACTAAGAAACAGAACACACAGGCAGTCGGATGCATGGACACACGTGACAGGTCAATCATACAGGCAGAAATCTCTGTGGTTTCTATCATGCATCTATACCAGACAGGCAGATAGGATCAAATTTGCTGTCTTTGGTGGTGTTACCTCAGGGATGAAATTGGCCCACGGAGAATACAATAAGGGATTTAAAGTGGCAAGACACAACACAGAGGTGGAAATGAAAGCAATTAAAAAAAAAGGGACCTGCTTGACCCTAATTTACAAACCTCTAGCTGTCAAAGAACAAATCTCCATATGAAGTCCAAACATAATTACTTATGGAATCATTAAGGCTCTGAGTAAATTGTTCCCTAAGCTCTTAGCTGGTGATGTTCTTGGGGTATATATGTGTGTAGGAGCTTTTTAATCTGATCTTTCTTTTCTTGTTTGTGTTCATCATTTAACCTTCCAGTTCTCCAGCAGTGCCTGGAAATAGGAATCCAAATAGAAAAATGATTTAATCCCGTGTTTTAAATGTGCTAATCCCAGCTGTCTCTACCACACCCAATTCTCTCTCCTGTCTCCACTTTTGAAGACTGGAGTCACTATGGCAGTCAAGCAATTATGTTTTAAAGCCGGAGAACCCCACTGACCTGTGCCAAAAGCTGCTGAAGCCCGTATGCAGGCACGCTTGTGTGAATGTACCGCGCATTTGTAGAGATGCTTCTCAGGTATGAGCAGGACAGTTACATTTGAAATAGGAAACAAAATTTGGTGCTGGCTTGCTAGAAAGCTTTAAGTTGAAGGCTGTGAACTGAGTGAATCCTAGGGTGGGGAGAGGTGTGGGGGGAGAGGATTCTTTAAAGAGGCTTTTGGAAGCCAGCTCCAGATTTTATTCTTTGGCTCTCATTACTTATACTTGCTTGCAAAGATCACATTTATTACTATTAAGGTTGTCAAAATAAATGCTGAAATGCTCAGTCTACTGTAAGAATCATCAACTCCAACAGCCTTGAAAGGAACCAGAAGCAACACTGCAATAATCAACACACAGTACCTACAGCCCTCCACTGAGCAATACTTTGACAGCAAACCAGGGTGTGCCATCCCAATAACCAGGAGTGACTCTGTGATAACAAACAAATGTGCAGCCTAGCACTTTTGTAATTACAAACCGCTTGGCAATGGTAAACTAGCACTCAGCCCACCTCCAGTTAGGAACCAGTCTCTGCAGCTCTGCAATAACAGACCAGTTTGCATAAGCAGCCTTACAATAGCAAGACAATGTATGTGTCTGTGTAATGGAGTCTGCACATGTACACACACATGAATATGCACGTGTGCACACATGTTCATGCATACCCCCCTACTGGAAATCATTGGTAAGGAGATGGATTTTGAAGGGATTATTCTATAAAAGGATGATTTAGCAAGATAGCTTTAGAGGGTGCTTTTAAACAGCAGTGTCTGTACCACATGGTAAATAATGCAGGAAGGAAAAGAAAAATGCAAACTCTAAAGGGTTGTTCTGGAAGGGCTAGCCAGCACCTGAGATGTCTTTGGAGGCATTCCAGCTGCAGGGAAACAAAACACAGACCTTGTCAGCCTTTCCAGAAACTTGTTGGTCTCCTTGGCACAGGAAAGCTGCTCAGAGTGACTGCTTTTCCGGAGTGTTTGTGTTCCAGGGGGAGGTTGGGTGAATGGGGGTTGGGAGGGCAATTTTCATTCATCCCTCCATTCACAAGCAAATGAAATGGGAAGAATATGACTCTGTCCCCCTTAGGATCAGTGGGGCTCTATGCGGGGAAATGATGGCCGGTTTTTAATGTTGTGCAGTGCGAAGGTGAGAGGGAAATCCAGATTGCCTTGGGCTGTCTAATGCAGGTTGACCTCCTCAAAACCTTGCTGGCTCTTAAGATTCCCTGTACTTCGTGTCACTGTTAAGATATCTACTCCCTGTTCATTTGTAAGCTCCTTGGGGTAGGGACCTTGCTACCCTACAAGCAAAACCTTTGTCTTGGGGTCTGTAGGCTCACTACTGGGGAAGGGGGCATGAGGAACCTTTTCTGGGGTCTGTAGGCTCACTACTGGGGAAGGGGCATGAGGAACCTTTTCCTCCACCAGTCCATGGCGTGCAAGAGATGGGCAGGAATCCAACCTCCTGCCCTCAGGTAGTTGGAGAAAGTGCAGTGTAACACAGCCAGGCCTCAGAGCGGTGTGGTCTCGTAACACTGCTCACTGGACCTCCATCCACATGCTGCTGGTATGCAGCACTCCAAGCCTCCATACTGTCTTCTTGTTAGGAAGCACTTTCTTCTGATTTCTTAGATTTTCCACTTTTTCCTGCCTTGATGTTCAAGCACTGGGGTTCCAGTCAGCCAGGTGTGTCCTTTCACAGTTTCATAGTTGTTTGGGGCTGGAAAGGACCTTACAGATCATCAGGTCCAGCCCTCTGCACTTGGGCAGGAAAGACTGCTGGGATCAGATGACCCCAGCAACAAGATGCTTTTGTTGGACCTGAGCTTGTGCTGGGTTGGCGGTGAAGGTTCAGAGGTTGGGTCTAGGCTGGCTGCACTGTTCTCACGGCTGCTGCCAAGAAATGAACCCCTCTCGCTTGCTCCTATTGATACTTCTAGAGTGGGAAGGATGGTGGTGAGATGGGGGCCTGCCATTGCTGCTCTGGAGATCTGTCTGTCATGGAGCAGCTCTGGAGTGTTCCCACCACCACATTTCTGGGTTTGAAATAGGAGCAAGTAGGCAGGGCTTATTTTTTGGCAACAATCTGGTGAGAGAGGTGGGACCAGCGCAGACTTGCCCAGAGAGCCCGAGTGCTTTGTTTGGTGTCCTGGCTACCCGTTGCTCGATTGTAGAAAAAACTGAAGTCTCCCAGCTCCTCTTCCTTGGCCTGAATTTCCAACTACTAATGTAAAATCACCATTTTATTTCAAATGGTGAAAAGGCAGAGCTCTTGTTAAACATTTTCAAGGCCTATGTGACCTTCAGTCACTCTTCTCTTGAGGATGAATTTAAAGAACTGCCCATGTGAGGTCTATAAATCCCTGTAAATTGCCCATTATCACATTACTTTCTGCTAAACAATTTGGAAGAGCTTTGTCACCCCTCACAGAACTGTGCTGCACATTTTTTTTCTGGTGGCTCCAAATTGGTTATGAGATGGGTTATGTCCTCCCTCGTGCATCCAAAACTGCACTTGCAAACGTGTTCTCGCTTGGTCTCTGCCTTGTGGGATTGTGTATGTATAAGTAGCAGTGCCTGTATGCTTAACTGTGCACATGGCCTTTGTTAATTAGACAGTCCATTAATGCTTTATGTATGCAGGTCTGCCTGTACGATCATGTGCCTAGAACCTCATTAATTTTACTGGCTGCCCCTCCTGTTGGAGTTCACAAATCAAGCTGAGCATGCACACAAATCCCTTTGAGCAGGTTCATCTAATAAAGCAAACCAGGCATCAAGAAAGATTCACTAGCAATACTGGAAACAACATGCTGGCCTGGTGATTTTTGCAAAGGGGCTCTGTGTAGTTAAATGGCAGTTGCAGAGAGCTGCTAAGGACTTGAGCTTCACAGGCCCAGAGGTGAGTAGGACTGTTGCTTAGAGCTTCTTGTGAGTGCGTGCACACACACACATGTCTCCATTAATTCTTTGCACACCTCCAGCAGAAGCAAAGCTGAGACCTCTGCCTGAAAATTACAGCATCCCTTAGCCACAGAGCCAAGAGATGGAGCTTGATGTCACATAACCCAGCTGGCAGACAGATTTTTTATTAGTGAACATGCCCAACTTCCTGCACTGGAAATATGCTGTGTATATACATGGCCAATTTGTTGCCACATACTTGATCTTTAGGGTACAGGATACTTGTTTCATCCAGGTAACCCTCTCACAATGACAGGGTACTTGGAGGATGGCAAGGGACTTGAAGCCTCCTTTCTCTTTGAGTTTCCCAAGCTGTGAAGAAGCTGTTATTTCCCCAAACAGCCCAGAAACAACAGAGGGTAAAATCCTGACCCCATCTATAATGCCACTGGGACCAGCATTTCACCCAGAATCTTCTGGACTCAGCATCGGCTGTTACACCAAAAGTCCTCTTATGTAGGTGAAACTGGAAAGTGAGTCTCTTGTCCTTCCTGCTTGCAATCAGTCTGTTATGCTTCCATGAGCCCCTCTACCTCTGTTATGCACATCTATCAGTGGGGACGCAGTCCTGATTGTGCTTTAGCCATCTGCACTGCAGTCCCCATTACAGATGCAGTGCTGAGAAGCTTATTTCACAACTGACTGAAGGCAAAGATATAAGCACATGTATGTTCAGGAGCCTATTGCCTGCATCCTTCAGAGATGATTTTTGCATTTGTGTCAGAGATACAAATCAGGAGAAGCAGCTCACTTAAATATTTGCTGAGAAAAAAATGATGAGGTGAAGGGACCAGGTTAAAGGCCAGATGCTGACCTAGCTAAAATCTGGGTTAGCTCTGTGTTGTAAAAGGGAGTGAACTGTGTTTTAACTGTACTCTTAAATTGTACTGTGTATCTGCCTGGCCTGTTATCATGGTATGGAAATGCCACTCAAAAAACCTGAGGCAGAATTGATCTGGGCACAAACAGAAGTTACATTTGTTGCAGTTGACCACTTGAAAGCACTCTAAAACCATGCCCTTAAAGAAGGGCATGGCTGCAGAGTGCCTTAAAAGTGCTTGATTGCATGGGGGTTCAGATGAAGGCACTCTAATGCGGAGCACCTTCATTAATGTCTGTCAACATGTGCTGGGAGGGGGAGAAGGGAGGGGAGGGAGTTCAGTCTGGGATTTGCCCAGCCTGCGCTGGAGGGTGGACCAGGTGGATTGGAGCCCTCCCCCAATCCCATTCTGAAGACAGCACTGGAGCTGGGAGGAAGGGGAGGTGGGGCTAGGGGACAGAAGCTGCAGACATGCAGCCACTCCAATCTGGAGGTCAATCCCCCAACCCCTTGGGTCCAACAGTGAACGTCTGTTAGGTTGTGGGGAATGCTGTAACTCATGACACTTCCTGTAAAGCACCGTTAGTTACAGCAGGGAGCTGCATGTCTGTCAGCACCCTAAAGTATGTGGTTTTCTGTAGCAGTATAGTTCAGATTGGTAGTGAATAGAGCATGTGTTTGCCCTTTGGTGGGGGGTGCAAATCTTAGACCGAGTTCTGCCATTTTAAAACTAGTCTGTGCGCGCTGAACTTCTGTTATGGGCATAGACCAGTTTTGTGTGCCACACTTCTGTCTGTTACTGGTAAAGACTGGTTTCCGATCACTTATACCAGTAAAAGTGTAATGTCTGTACCTGGTCCATATAACTGCAGAAGTATCTGTGTGGAAATGCAGTTTTAATATGGCTCCATTCCATCTACACTGCAAAACTGAACTGCAATGTAACTGTGCGAAGGGACAGCTGGGATATAACAAGGTAGAAATGAGAGCATAATTGGGACCTCAGGAACGAGGGGGATTTTTCTGCAGTTCTTTTCCAGCTGCCCTCCTGCTGAAGTTGGACATGTGTTGAAATGCTGCAGGAGTTCAAATTACTTTGAAAAATTGGCTCTGATGGTTGTAAAATAAACGGTTAGCTCTCCTGGATTGGTTGTCTGGATAAGTGAGAGGGAGCAGGGTGAGAGAGAGAAGCTGATGTGCCTTTAACTGCCTTGAAACTGCTCCAAAGTAATGTTTAATCAAAGGGAGCTGACATTTGCCTATTGAATTGCTATCAGAATGACTGAGTCATTCATATGCCATTGTGCTGCAGAATTGGGAGCCAAGGATTGATGCAGTCTGACAGGAGCTGCTCCCAGTCATTAGCATTTCCCTGACATCTGACTGGTATCTCCATTTCACACTGGTAAACAAGCCACCTGAAGGCCAGGGTAACACTGACCTCCTCCCTCCCAGGGTTCCTTGTTGGAGGACCCTAACGAGAAGCCTCTGTCTTTATTTTCACTTAGATAACAAGCTGCTGCCCTTTCCTCCTGCAGGGGAGGAAGGGACCATGTGCCATTTACACTCTCCTTTGGTTTCATGCCATTGTAAACAATAATAAAGATTCCCAGTAAACTCAGCCAGAGACATCATTGCTATATATAGGGCCAAGGGCTCAAGAGAGTGATGACATTTGAAATCAATCCCAGTGCGAGGTTGGTCCGTCTCCCCTCTTGTGATATATTCAGCCTGTATGCTTAGGTGTGGGGGAAGGGGTTTAAAGCAAGGCAAAGCTTGGGTGGGTGAAGGTAGAACGGTGCTTGTGGGTGCTTGAGGGGAACAAAAAAGATCCAATGGTGGGGGTTTCCTGAATGCAGGTGAGTGAGGAGAGGGATGAGGTGATAGAAATATAGGGCTCAGACAGAAGTGACAATTTTCACCTCATCTGGCCCCAGAAAGTGGTCTACAGTCATGACCAAAAAGAAATGCATGGCTGCAGACCACCTGAAAAGGGCCCAATCCCAAGAAAATCTGATCCCTTACTGCATGAAGGTTCAGATGAACATGCTCAAAAACAAAGTGCATTCTGTTGGGTCTGGGGTATCGTTACAACTCATAGTGCTTCCTGAAAAGTACTGTGAGTTACAATGGGGAACTGCTCTTCTGTCTGCTCCCATAGTGGTAGTAATAATTCAGGATACTGCAACTCCTGTTCCTGATGAGGCTGGGGCAGTCTTTCTTTTACATATGGGCCTGTCCATGTCTGTGTGTGCATATCAGCAGGGATGTGTATGAATGGATCTCATGTAGATTTTTGTGGCTATAGAAACCTACAGTAGTTTGTATGTCTCCCTGGCTGTAGTATGCTGGGAACTGTGGTGCAGTAGAAGGCAAAGACCTATCATTGGTAAAAACAGAGGTGGAACTTCTCTGGCTTTTAATCCTGGTATCCTACAAATAGGTATCCAGACATACATGAGTCCATTGTCCCACTTTAAGTACCTATGAAGTATGCTGGTTAACGCTTTTTCCTGGAGTCAATACTAATTCAAATTGATTGCCTTTTATTCCAAGGATAAACTATTTGGGAGTGGCACAGCCCTTTGCACAAGTTTTGACTTAGATCAATCAGAGCCACTTCAAGTGAAGTCTCTGTTTTTACCCTCTCTTGCTGACTCTTCTACTTTGGCCCCATTGTATGTGGACAAGCGTGTGCACACACATGCACGTGCACACGCTGCCCACCAGAGCCTTTGCCCACATAGTTCTGATTTGCAAAGGCTTTTGTTGTGGGTGGCAAAATGTGCCTGTGTTGACATTTAAAAAAAACAATAGGAAGCCTCAAATCAAAACTGGATGAAAGGCAGCTCTTAGATGCCACTTTCAATTACGTTTACCCCACCTGTAAGACCTTAGTGGTGATGATGATGATGTCAAGTATCCCAACAATGAGATCCCTTAGACTATGGAATCATCTCCCAGAGGAATACCCCAACCTTTAGGAAGCTTTGAGATTAGACTGGCCAGAAAATGAATCTGGATGGCCTTAAAAGCTCTTTTTACCTGTAGCTCCAAAGGAGTAAATTCCCCTTAGTGCTCATATTTGCACATGTATGTGTTTGAAGACTATGTTTATCTATGAGCAGTTGTGCATATGTGTACATATGCTGCTGATACATTGCATCACTGAGTCCATGTGGCTTTATAGCCATCTGAAGGTGAAAGGCAATGAATCTCTTTTAGCAGCCCTTGCTTGAGCAGATCAGGATTGAATGTAATTGGTGAAAGGCCCCTTGAATCTGGCCTCCTGTATTTAAGTGTATGATTTATTTTGCCTGGTCATACTATGATGCAGTCTGTGGCATATGTTTTTGTGGGAACTGATTTTTGTGATGCCTGGAGCTCGGGAAGGGCTTGCTAAGGAAACACAGCGTGATGCAACCTTAATTTCCTCTGAAAGAGCAGTCAAGGAATGTACTGCGTTGAAATGTCACTGCTTCTTCTGTCCTGACAAAACAAAGGAAAGGGAGTGGATGACTGACCCCTTCTCCCCCATTACCTCCCCCTCCCCACCTCCCCAGCACAACTTAAAATCCTCCTAGGAAAAAATAAAACAAATTCTCCCAGCACTTTGTGCAAGGAGTAATAAGGCTGTGTTTGAGACAGCCAGGCAAGGGGCAGTGTGGTACTTTGTGACTGGAAATACCTGTTTCTGTTACTCAGGGGTGCGGGGGGAATATAGAGTGCTAAAACCAACAAGTCTCTGTACCCAGCCCTCTCATTGTCGCTTTATAAGGACAAAGTATGGATGTTTTCTGGGAGCAGAGTTGTGTCCGGAATGAATCCTCACCTTCTCCGACTCCACAGAACTGGAACAGATGGATGTTGCACACGCTCAGGAACAGAAGTCAAAGCTCCTCAGCTGAGGCTGTAGCTGGGCCTTGTCCAATGCTTTCTTAGAAGTGTTAGATGCAGTTATCTAGTTGGGAAATATGAAAAGGGGAAGTTCTATTCAGGAGTGATTTCAGGGGTCATCTGCACCTTGCGTGTTGTGCTGGTTTCCGGGACAGATAGATGCATAGAGAAATGGTGGAATCTCCTTTCTTCCTTTTCAGCTCTCCTCCTTGTGGTGCAGGATGCCTAAGCAGAGTAGGTGTCTTGCAGGTTCTTTACCTTTCCATGCCAGCAAAATGAGGCAAGTATGGAGATGGAAGCCGTTGAGAGTAAGGATGGTTCTGGGGTCATCTAACTGGACTGGAGATCTGTTTTCAGTTCTTGTATGATAGTAGGCAAGCATGTAGGAGATGTCTTTGGACCCTGACTCTTCCAAAGTCTGTGTTCTGCCTCTAATATGGGGATAACATGTCTCACTCCCATTTTGTTCCATGTATTCATTTAGTCTAGAAGTTTCATCCTGCATGACTGCAGTGGGTTTATGATGGAGTATATGAACCCTGTGCTGTGGGCTCAGTCAGCCCTCCCCCTTGCTGTAGGCTCAGTCAGTGTCCCCCGCCTCTACACCTGCAGTACGTATCATCAGGCTTGGAAGGAGAGGTTAAACAGGAAAGCCCATCCCAGTTTGGGACTATTTGATGTCCTCTGTTTACGTGGTGATGTCCGCTAGTCACTGTGGGCTGCCTGTGGATGGCGGCCGGCGGTTCACGTGGACCCCACACCCCTGATGGGGTGTGGAGATGGATCCGATGGTAAAACTCCCGACAGGGTGGGTCCGGCTGGTTGCTTCCGTCGCTGCTGCTGTCGCTTCTCTGGCGAGGGATGACCAGCATCAGGTGACATCAGTAAAAGTAGTGGACAGGGATCTGATGATGCTTGGCGCTGCCGATATTTTCACGGTTTATAAAAGGCTAAAAAGCTTAAAAGTTTAAAAAGTTAAAAAGCCTAAAACCGCGAGGGGTAGGGGCCACCACTGGATAGGGCAACCAGTGCCTTAAAAACACCAATAAATTATGGGGGACAACAAAAGAGAAAACAGGGTGTGCTCATGTGGGTCAAAGGTTCAAAACTAGTGCTCCCCCCGGGGAAACACAATGGCCCCTTTCCACTCCAAGAAGTCATCTCAGTTTGGGACTAGTCATGAAGGAGAGGAGCCCTCCAGCTCTTGCTGTGTAGGACGGGTAGGAACTGCTTGTGAGATGGCTGTCTGTCAGAGCCTTCCTGCGGGAAGGTAGGGCTGATGTGGGACAGCCACAGAGATTTGCTTCCAGTTCTCGCTTGCTGTTCTTAGTCTGACTGCTGAAGGGGTGAGAGCCAAATGCAGACCTTTCACGTTGTACATCTGGCAGTGCCTGGCTGTAAGCCTGGCAGTGATTCTGGCACAGGAGGCCTAGTCTGGGCTGGGGATCTCTAGATGCTGTTAACTAGAATTAAGAAATATCTCCACTTGCCCTAATCAAAGCAAAAAAGGCTTTGATATTCTGTGTTGCAACTGGGGAAGCTTCTTCCATCTTCCCACCTCCCATGGAAATTCTGCGTGGAGTGGCAGCCTTTGTCACACCCCCCCAGACCCTCCATGCAAGGTACTAAGTGCATCCATAGGGTTGTGAAAGACTGGATTTCCATATATGTGTCCCTGAGAGGCAAACCCTGCAAGGAGTTTGGGAATCCCTTTCAGTGGAGCATCCACAAATTGAGGTGCTTTTCTGTTCCTTCACCAAAGTATCCAGAGCTCTTGGCCTGGATGGAGCATGAGAAAAGGTCTTCTTTCAAGATTGTTCTTGTGCTATTTCTTTTCTGGTACTTGGCATTTGCAATTCCTGGTTTCAGTCACAACCTAGGACAGCAGCAGTAAGAGCCACTGTACCCTCACAGTCTCTCTAGTGGAGACACTGGCTGTGTTTCCATAATACACCACCTTTGGGGTTTCTTTCAAGGGCTTCATGGAATATCTTCATGGGCTGTGGTAGCCCCTTCTGCTCAGTGACTAGTCTCACATCCCCTAGCAGATGGGAGGTTGTGTCTGTCCTCTCCCAGTCATAACTTCTCCCTTTGGCAGCCATTTTGCTGCTGGGGGTCCCACACCCTGGCTCATGTTGGCTGAAGCTGGCATAAATCAGGAGCTGGCATCTGTGTGATCCTAGCAGATTTCACTTCGGCTGATTATTCTTGGGGATGCGGATGGTGTGTTAGCAAAATGGCATTGCAAAAGAGAGAGAGTGAGCAAGCAAGTGAGAATGTGCTGCAGGTGCATGGAAAATGCTAAAGGAATTGCTTTGGGAATGCTACAAAGGCACAGGCATCCCTCCATGCGGTACATCCACATTTACACACGTTCGGAAAGCAGGGACACAAATGATGCATCCCCCTCTCTCCAATCCATTTGTCTCAATAGGTTTATTTTTCTGGGATGTGTGCGTTAGCTGCTTCATCGTGATAACTGCATCTGCCATTTCAGGCTCATCATAATCAGAGGCTCCCCCCGCCCCCTCTCCTTGAGTTGCCAGGCAGCAGGCTGATGGCTTCAACGCCCATTGGGAACCCATTACTCAAGTCATCTTGTGAACTGGATTATTCACATTCTGCCGCTGATATTTACAGTCACAGCTGCTAAAACAGTGTTTGCAAATTTGTGCTGATTTGATTAGCTAGTTTAGTCATCATTGCTGCTAAGAGCAGGATCTGGCCATAAAATTGCATTCTGCTGCATGCAACTCTATGTAATGGTGTGTCAAAGGGATATTATGTTAATATCTCACATGAGAACACAGAGTACGGGAATAGTGCAAGGGCTAGGAAGAGACCATATGGTGCACTGAAAGTCCCCCTTACAGCAATTTTATACCACGTGCAGCCTTTCTGAACACCAGCGCTGTGTAACCCTATCACCTCCATGTTGATCATGCAATGTCAAGTTAAAATTTTACCAATAAACCTGTCCCTACATCATCCAAGACACTGAATGCACGCACATTTCTAACTAGGTGATCTGTTTCCGAGACCAGAACTGTCAGAAATGGCTGTCGGAGGACATTCTGCTCACCCCTCAGTTTCTTCAGATTTCCTTCCATCCTTCTTCCTAGGATTTCGGTGTTTTAACTAATACAAACCTTAGTAATAGTTATAGTCCCTCTGACTGTAAATACCTTTTAACATTTCTCCTCCCTATCACCTTCAGGAAAACATGGGGGTGACCCCCATCTAAGTCTAAGGACCTGATTCCTAATGATTCCATTCTTGAGCTCGGGGCAGGGACAGAATAGGACATGAGCAGTATGGTATTCTGTTCTCCCAAATGCAGAGTCTGTTTATCCATCCTCCTTTTTAGATTTCTGGTATCCAATGCCATGAAATACAGGTCAGAGCTTCCCACATCCCCTAGCACTTTGCTTGAAGGTGTGTCCTGGCAGTGATCATACATGCTTTCATGATCTGGAAGCTTGATTATCGGAAGCCCCTGTTTCACTTTATGGCAAGGCAGATCTGCTGCTTGCAGCTCTGGTAGCATACAGCAGCACAATGGCTCATGGCCTCAAGCTATCAAAGTTGTCTCCCACTAGCTTTGTGCACTTTGCTTTGGCTGTCTAGCAAGTGGCAGATTCAGTTTAAATTCACTTTATTGGTTCAAAACAGTCTGAGTGTGACTAGCTCCAATCATATTTATGGGCATTTGTAGACGACACATTAAAGCGGGTTAAATGCCCTTTTGTACTGCTTTAATGGAGTTGCTGTTTGCATGAGTTTGCAAAGTCGGCAGCGTACTGTGCATTAATTCTAGCCACTGTAGCAAATTCAGCGGCATAATGTGCCTTAAATGACTTTGGGGCACAGCAAACTCAAACACCTCCAAGGAGTTTTAGTTTGCTACCTTACAGCCGTGGAGGGAATCGCTGGGCTCCATGCGGCTCAGGAGCTGTGCAGACAGCCCCAGCAGGCAGCCCGGCAGCAGCCCAGGAAGACAGGCTGCACTGAAGGGGGAAAAAAAAAGCGTTAAGTCTGATCCTTTTTTCCCCCTTCCCTGGAGCCTGCCTGAGCTGCGCGGGGGCCCAGTGCTTCCCCCTGCGGCTGCAGTGCCCCCTGGGACCGCCTCAGATGGGTGCTTGCTGCTGGGGGGGAAGGGGGCACCGCTGCCGTGGAGGGAAGCACCAACCCCCACTAATCCACCACAGCTCAGGGACTGCTTGACCCACCGGTAGCTCACTCTCCCCTCCCCACCACCGGAGAGGCAGGTAAGGACACAGGTGTACATGACATGGGGGTTTACTTTGCCCTATATTGTAGCGGTGTTTTTAAGAAAGCACTGCTTCAATTTCACCTCCCGTGTCATCTACAAATGCCCTTTGACCTCTTTTTCAAGCCTCTACACCGGACCAGTTCTTGTGGTTACTCACCCACTTATGATTTGAGGGTTTGTCATTGCTCCTGATGTCAGTAGCTGCCTGGGGTCTGTTGTAGCAGTCCCAGTTTTAACACTTGCTCCGCCCTGAAATCCCACTTCAAAAAGTTGTTTAAAAACTTATTCCAACTCGAAGAAGCCTGAATTAATAACATTTTTTTGTTGTTGCTGCCCCAAGTCCTTTGTAATTCAGTTGAGGTCAGGGTATTTTTGGTTAGCAAGAAACTGTTATTTCACAGCCAAACGTTTTGGCCAGGATGGGGGTGTTTTTGTGCAATTACAATAATTACTTCAGCCGTAAGCAAGGCCTTCATTCAATCCAGAGGCCTGCTGCTTGGCGTATGCCTCACTGCAGGAGCAGTGCTATGGCAGAGCTCACAGAGTCATCTTCCAGTTTAATTTTCTCCTTTAAATGGTGTCCAGTCTCTGGCTGACCAGCAAGAATTTTGTTAGTGCTATTTCTGAAATATTTTCATAGCCAGCTTCGTCTTTTTGGCTTATGTGCCTCTTCTGGATTTTCTGATTCCTTTCAAACCAGGGCAGGGAATGCACTCGCACACTTGTGTGTTTTCTCAGATTGTTGTTGGGTTTTTTTCTTTTGGTTGGTTTTCAATCTTGACGAGCAACTCCTCTCTTTTCTCTCCCCTACCAATTCTTTCGTTCCTCTCTTGCACTTCTTCCTAGGCGGGACTGCATGTGACTTTGGCTGGAGGCCACCTGTATCTAGGGTGGCCATCACAGAGGACAGTCTGGTTGTCCTCTGTCCTCTATGGATATGAAACCTGATGCCTTTTCTCTTGAAGAGAAAAATAGAGGACATAAAGGAGTCGGGTTTTGTATTCACAAAGGACATAGTAGAAAACCAGAATGTCTTCTATGATGGCCACCCCACCTGTATCTCTCCCCAACTGCAGAGTGGATATAGGAATCAGTCCACCCCTTGTCTTTTGACTTTTTTCACTTGAAATAATTGAGAGGTCATTCTCTCCCTCAGCTCTCTTCGGAGCTGAATGTGCAGCCTTCATCTGTCTTCACAGGAAAGTCATAGTTTCATAGTTAGTAGGGTCGGAAGATCATCGAGTCCGACTCCCTGCCATGGCAGGAAAGAATACTGGGGTCA